AGAAGTTCTCGCACAGCTCAGTTGAGGCTTCCAGAGGTGATGGTTCAGTGAGGTGGAGAACAGAGTTTAGGGTAGAGAAGAGGACACATGGGTTGTGAGAGTTTGAGGTAATGATATCAGAAAAATATTTGGATTTAACAGCTTTTACTGCTTTCTGATAACGGCGCCAACTCTCTTTAAGTATTTAATAATGTGCTTAATGTGTGGGCCAGGCCGGTGTCGGTCTTTTGGTCGCGTCAGTGGACGCGCACGGCTGACGATCCAATTATATGGCAACATGGCTTGCCATACAGTCACCAGCCGTACACGGCCGCTGACTGGCCTTGAAAGAGGTAAAAGAAAGTTCATTTAGATATTCAAACAAATGAGACATCTTTGTTCTTTCCTTTGGTGTAATTTAAAAAAGATTCAGTTGCACTCAGACACACATGGCCGACGACCCAAACAGGTGAGATCCCAAAATATCCGACATGTCAGAGCAGGGTCTGTGTCTGAATAACGCAGAAAGCAATCTGGGATTTAATGCGCTTTGACAGCCATGAAAGGACAGATTCCTCCCCAGCTCCAATCTTCTGCACCCTTTACTCATCCGCGTGCATCTGCCGACCGTTAATATAAGCAGTCAAAGTTTAATTAAAAATGTCGGGGGTAGAGGGGTTCGGTTTCGGACCTGTAATTACTGTTAATTTGTCAGGTCAGGTGGGGTTCGAAAATGATAGCTACAGGCTGGGGCCGGGCCGGGTCGAGTCAAATTTTTTTGGGCCCGAATGCAACTCTACCTGGAACTCACCAGCATGAAGGATTCAATCTTGGAGAAAGCTAATCGAGCACAGACCGGACGGAATGTCCACTAATCTGGCTGTTTGGATTCACCATTGATTGTACCAGCAGAAGTTGAAGGCAGACTGAGAACAGAGTCTGGCGGCCAAACAATTGTTCTTTATCTGAATTTGGTCTCCCTACTGGCCTTGGACAGGCCAACTTATCTCAAATTGGTTCTGGAGGATTTGTAAACTAGAAGCTCTGCCTGCCCCACTTCCTGAGGACATCTGTGGCTTTATCAGAACCATGATGCTGATAGACACTGTACCATCTTATCAGGACTGTAGAACTTTCTGGAGTGTTTATGAATAACTCAACGGCTTTATCGACTTCTATGCATAAATGTACTATGATTATCATTGTACACTGCCTGGCCCAAAAAAAAGTTGCCACCTGGATTTAACTAAGTAAATAGGTACGAGCCTCCTATTGGATAATTACTGCATGGGCGATTATCTTTCAGCTGGCAACAAGTTATTTAAACCCAACTGGTGCAATGAGTTGCTTCTCATTTCTTAAACAACCATGTTGAAAGACACATCGCGTGGTCATGGAAAATGTCAGTCTGTTTGAGAAGGGTCAAATCATTGACATCAAGCAGAGAAAACATCTAAGGAGATTGTAGAAACTACTAAAATTGGGTTAAGAACTGTTAAACACATTATTAAAAACTGGAAGTATAGTGGGAACCCATCGTCTTCGAGGAAGAAATGTGGCCGGAGAAGAATCCTGAATGATCGTGATCGGCGATCACTTAAACATTTGGTGAAATTAAATGGAAGAAAAACAACAGTAGCTCTCAGGGCTGTGTTTAATGGTGAAAGTAAGAACATTTCCACACGCACAATGTGCAGAACTCAATGAATTGGAACTGAACAGCTGTGTAGCCTTAAGAAAACCACTAATCAGTGAGGCTGACTGGAAAAAAAAAATGCTTCAATTTGCTAGGGAGCATAAAGATTGGACTCTGGAGCAATGGAAGGAGGTCATGTGGTCTGATGAGTCCAGATTGACCCTGTTACAGAGTGATGGGTGCATCAGGGTAAGAAGAGAGGCAGGTGAAGTGATGCACCCATCATGCCTAGTGTCTAGTCATCAATGCAAGATCTTGGTGAAAAATTAATGCAACACTGGATGGAAATAGATCTTGTGATATTGCAGAAGCTTATCGAAACAATGCCACAGTGAACGCATGATGTAATCAAAGCTAAAGGCTGTCCAATGAAATATTAGTGACTTTTTTGGGGGGTGGTGACTTTCTTTTGGCCAGGCAGTGTATGTAGCTGTTTTATGTTGCAAGGTCTTTTATTGTTGCATCTTTTTTACTGTTTCCCGGCCAGGAAATGGTGTGAGACATTTTTTTTTAGCTTCCTCCATCCTTGTGTTCTCTTTTCCTGATCTTTCTGTATGTTGTATGTAGTCTCTCTTCTAAATGAGTCTTTGAGGCTCAATGGGAACTAACCTGTATAAATAAAGATCTAATAATAATGTTATTATTATTAAACCTTTATTTATACAGGTCAGTTGATTACAACACATTTTAATAATGTCATTGCATGAATACGTTTTTGTTTTTGCATATGACAAAGCTTTTTTGGAACTTATGGACAATTATGCTTCCTTAAAAGGCAGCTGTAGCTTTGCAGAGGGTTTGAAATGTTACTCAAGAGTGGACTAAATTCACCAAAATTTGTGAAAGTGTTGTCTTGCATGGAATAAACTAGAAGTAAATTGAATTATTAAGTTTTAGTAAATTTCACTGGCTTTTATTTTTAATTGGCCTTTGCTTTTGAGCTATACAACAATGTACAAACGAGTTCTGTCATTTACAATGTCATAGTCAGAGTTCCTTTATTGTCATTTGCACCTCATGTGGTACATGTGGAGGAGCGAAATTATGTACACAGGGTCCCAGTTACATCCAACAATAAAATGTAAAAGAAAAATAGTAATAAAATCTAAGATATGAACTAAGAAAAACATCAGCTAAATATACACCAAGCACTAATATCATAAAAACATTACGTCGAACATCAGCACAAACATGAACATAAGTCTGTGTGAGCAGATGAGCACGCATGAACACATCAACATGAAACAGATCAGCAGCAACATGAAACAGATCAGCAGCAACGTGATGTTTTTTTTCACAGTGATTATTCTGATTAGAGATTCATGAGTCTAACAGCCTCAGGGTAGAAGCTGTTCCTCAGTCTAGTGGTTCTACACTTAATGCTCCTCAACCTCCTTCCTGAGGGGAGTGGGGCAAAAAGTGTGTGTGCTGGGTGAGTGGGGTCCTTCATGATGCAGGTGGCCCTCTTCCTGCATCTGGAGGTGTAAATGTCTGTGATGGTGGGGAGGCTGACTCCAACATCTACTGTGCAGCCTTCCCCACTCTCTTCAAAGCTTTTCTTTCTGCAGCTGTGCAGCCTCCATGCCACACGTTGATGCTCGAGCACAGGATGCTCTCCACTACACACCCGTAGAAGGAGGTGAGGACTGAGCTTCCCAGACCAGCTCGTCTCAGCTCATACTCCTGTTGTAAGAGTTTATGTTGAACAGAATAAATCACCCATCCATTATCTTTACCCGCTTCTTCCTTTTCGGGTCACTGGTGTCCATGTCCAGCAGTCACTGTGTGAGAGGTGGGGGACACCCTGGACAGGTCTCCTGTCCATTACAGGGACACAGAGACAAACGAGACAAACAACCATTCACTCTCTCACTCACACCTAGAGACAATTTAGAGTTACCAATCAGCCTAACATGCATGATTTTGGTCTGTGGGAGGAAACCCACGCATGCATGGAGAGAGCATGCTAACTCCACCCAGAAAGGCCCCCCAGCTGGAATTCGATCCGGCAACCTTCACACTGAGAGGCAGCAGCTCAACCAACTGCATCCCCTTTAAAAATTCTCCAGGCGGGCAGAAAGTGAAGCATGGAAAAGTGCAGCTACAATTTCAGCAGAATTTATTTGAAGAAAAATAATTGTTGAGAAACTTTAGATGACAATTTATACCAAAATGAAACCATCACAAAGAGATAATGCTGTTAAGTATTTATTTACACAGAACATACATGCATGACGCAGTGGTCATCCTTAATGTCACTAAGAATTATTGCCTTTTTAAAGTCAAAGCTTTCAGGGTTACAGTTTGTGTTTGTAGTGATTAGAAAGCAGACTGCATGAACATTAAATATTTTCACAGAAGAATCTTCCTAATACACGAGTGTTTAAGTACGAGTGACCCGCTGCACTGAGAATGTCCTACAGATACATATCCAGTGTTTCAGATCCCGTTCTTTGTACAGATGTATCATGTTGTAACTTAATGACAGACGTCTAAAACACAAGAGCTGAAAAAAGTTTTAGACAAAATTTTAATAATATGGCCAATAAATGTAACATGGAAAAAATAAATCTGCTTTGGAACTGAAACATCCAGCAATATATTCGTTCCACAAAGGAAAAGTGAATAGCTTTCTCTTAAACGATTTTCCTTTCACCTCTCTGCATCCTCCACATCACTTTAAAGTCCATCTGGACATCACTGGACGAACTCAGGACCCGTTCGACTCTGCACGGTTCAGAAAAGCAGCACAACATGCCTGCATGTTGGTGTGCGTCCACTACAGCCTCTTACTTTTAACTGTGTACAAAACTCAGAGTGTAAACACCAGAACTCAAATTCTGTCTTGGCCATCAGCATGGGAACGTTGGCACAGGTGAACTTTAATGTCAAAGAAAAAAAAAAAAACACGAAGCAAAGAACAGGGCTCATCCATGCGCTGCCAAAAAAAAAAATCATACAAAATGTAGAAACAGTAGAAGTCCCCTCTGAACAAGGAGGCAATGTGCACAGTGAGAGCAGGGCATGGAAACTTCAAAGTACAGTAAGTATTGCTTCTTCAACTCTGAATTAAATAAAAAAATTATATATTTATTCCATTCAACTTAAAGAGATAACTTTAAACTTATTTTATAGACACAGCAGGTTTAAGTAAACTGAACAAGTTTCTTTCATCTCCCCCCAAATAAGTGACCACGGTGGCTGCTTCCAGTTTAAAACCTTTCTGCTGCCGCCTGGTGGCTGCCGCCCATCTGTTGAAATAAAGCAGCCAGTCTGCTGCTGAGCAGACAGACACTCTTTAGGAGCAAGTCCATCACGGTTTCTGTCATACTTCGGTCGAAAAGAGGAAGCTTTGACGTTTGCTGTCGGGGATGGGAATGCTTTCCAGCTGAAGGAAGTAGAGGAGGACTTGCACCTTTGGAGAAATCAGATCCACACGTTAGTTTCAGGTTTCACACCCACACTACTAATAAAGAGCAAGTTTTACCTGAGCCATGACCTCAAGAGACCAGCAGTCATTCATGGAGATGGGCTGGGAGCTGGTCGGGGTCTTGCTGTCCTTTTCAGAGGGTCGAAGCAAAGTGGGACCAAAAACTGTGGCCAGGTTGTGCAAAGACATCTTGTTGATGCTCTCGTTGTCAGCCACCCTTTTAAAAGCAAAGCCCAAAATATAAAGCATGCCTACAGATGCCCACTAAATACAAACTCAAATGGGTGAAATGATGACAAAAGTGCAGTGATTTACCTTTTTAAGTGGTCCAGAACAAAAAGAAAAGTGACCAAGTTGGTCTCTGGCAGAGACAGCAGCAGGTTGAGCATGCAGCTCTCTTTAGCCACACTATCAGAGAGACCTGCAAAATAAAGGCAGGGATTGAAAACACACTTGGCTCCTTGTGACAGATTACGAACAATGCAAACAAAGATGAGGCGACTGACCGATGCCTCCTGCGAAGTTGGGGTACAGCTCATCAGTGAAAAGAGGCTCCGGAAGCTCACGGAAGTACAGCTTCAGAGTTCCAGCGATGGCGTTTACGTCCATTTCGCTCATCATAAGAGACACGTCCTTATTGTCTGCAGGTAACATCAGACATGATAAGCAGAGTGTGAGTCATGTCTCTGCCTGCAGCTTTATCTAAATGTTAATAACACTTCCCTCTGTGTTGTCTCACATGCCTACATTTGACAAAGACTGGATCTAAATTAAAAGTGAGCTCACTCGAGTCGAAGGCAGCCTTGAGCGCCTGGATGTCCGTTGCGACACCCGACACTCTGTAGATCCCCACCTCCTCCATCCCTCGTCGCTCAATCTCCTCTACGCACTGACGAACAATCAGCGGGACTTTGGAGCGTTCTCGCCTGAGGACAACACGGCACTCAGAACCAAGGCTTGATGTGTACGTTACAGATCAGCAAACTAAAAACACTGCAGACCAAATAAAATACGCTTCCTTTTTATTTGACGGCTTCAGCTTCAGGAAGCTTTGATTAGAAATGACGATTCAAACTTGAACCTCAATGGCACATAAATGATCAACAATAGAAATTTGGGCCAAGAACTCACTTTGTGACTATGTTGATCTTCACTCCAAAGACGCCGGACTGCTTCCGTGACGGCATTCGCTTCAGACTGAACTCTCTGCTGGTGAACTTCATCGAAAGTTTCACCTCAACCTGAAACAGGTCAAGGAAGATGGTTACTGCAGAGGCAACAACAGCTTACAAGACCTGGCTCTGACCAGGACAACTTCCTGGGTTCAAGTCCCGGGTCAGGCCTGGGGTCTTTCTATATGGAGTTTACAAGTTCTCTGTGTTCGAGTGGGTTTTCTCCCACAGGCCATAAACATGTTTAGGCTGCCTTCAGCCCAACACCTCCCTTTAATAAGAGATCAGTGATCTCAGTGACATTTAACTACTTGAAATAAAGGTTAATAATCACAAGTGGACATCCACCGTTGCTAAGGGATTTGAATAGTGAATGTTTTTTGTTTTCAAGATGAGCTTTTCAAGTTTTTCAGGTCTGGAATTAAACAGGGAATGTAAGAAAACCTTAATGTTTTAGGTGCAAGACATTCAAGTGGGTCAGAGCTACACTGCGTATAAGAACAGAGGTAGTATTTTTTTATTTTTGCTTGTTTGAGGCAGTGCAGAGTGACAGATCCTGGCGAGGGAGCAATTTTATCCACCACCCGGTGCAATGGAGGAGCCAGAGGGTGGCCAGTGGTGGCCTTGGCCACCATAGATTGATCTTCAGCCACCCCAGTCATTTGAGAAAACTTCACTTTTAAGCAACATGAAAACTAGAAAGCATAGTCTCCTCTAATGATAAAGGAGGTCAATTTACATGCACACACACACATATAAATATATATATGTGTCTGTACGTGCATGTCCCAGGCCAGCCTGGACTTTGACATGGCAGCCCAGTTTTTGATGGTGACCTGTTTTTACACCAGATGCAGCCACACACCAAAATGCAAGTTGTCATGTTGCTTATTTTTCAAGTTATGCTCACAACATGCACGGACGGACGAAGGGTGTGTCCTATTCCCCCACCTCGCTCTGCGACGGGCACTGGAATTCTACAGAGCCCTACGGACTGGGTTGACTTGAGTCTAACAAATTAATAAATGGTAAACATTGTGTAAAAGTAAACAGACTGACTCAATGTCATTTTTACTGCAACCTCCACCTTAGCTTAGCTGGAGGTTGTCAACTATAATTTATGGATGAATCCTGGCTGCTCTAATGTCAACACATCCTGTTGGACAGCAGCTCTACTTTATCAGCTTCTGATACAATAAAAATGATTAAAAACTACAGTTAGCGTTAGGGTTACACTTTAATTTCAAAAGTATAGCCACATGAACACTCAACTGTGGTAAGTTATGTTTTTCTGAAATATTTTTATGTTCCTAAAAGTAAAAATAATAAGTAAAAGTATGTTTATCAAGTAGCACTGCTTTATCAACTTTAAAACCAATTCTGAAGGAAATAAAACAAACAGCATAAATCTGTTAAAAAGAGTGTTTTAGAAATCTGAATGTTGCTTTGAAGCAATAAGTTAATTAATATGTTGATTTATTCTTCTTCTGTGATGAAATTCATGCGGCATCCTTCTCCCTGGGCCTCGTCTCATCAGATTGGTGAAAACACTCACTCCATTCATGGCGATGAGCGTCCTCTGCCAGTCTTTACTTTGGAGCGTCTGGGCGTCCAGCTAGAAGAGCACAAGGAGAAACACAAATATTAATTACCAAGGTGTTTTGTTTTTACTGCTACCCAAGTGTCCAGTTTGTATTAGTTGCAGCTCAGAATGATTGACTCCATTATTTCACAATCCTTTGATAAAAGTCAACAGAGTCTTGTGGACAGGCGGTGCGCACGTTGATCCAACTTTCTAAGCTCTGTCCCTGTGCAACACGCCAGACACCCAAGAAATCTTCAGATCTTGTTCAGATAATCCTCTGCTTACAGAAAGTCTATTTACTCAAGTAACAAATGACAAAACAGCATTCTTTCCCAAATCTATAAGAAAATCAGGTCAATAAAAATGCAACCAAACAAACAGGCAAAGACACGTGTGAAGAAAAGTCTTTAAATGTATGAAAGCTCCCAGAGACACAGTAATTCAGAACATTTAGTTCACTTCCTCTCCTTCTACCTTTTGTTTGAGCAGACCGCTGCGGACCCGGTCCCATAGACGCGACCCGGTATTCAGAGGCTTCTTTAAAGCCATGTCTCCGTCTTCTTCTAGTCCGCTGCTGGTCCAGTCCACATTTGCTTCCTCGTCAGGATTACCGTCAGTCAATTTTTCTGGCATTAGTCTTTCCATACATGTTACTTCCATAGGACTAACAACTAACACAGATTTTTCTACAAATTAACTCGTTTCTCAGACAAAAGCAACCGATCCTTAATCCCTAAATAAAGAGCCTCTGATCACACGCTCATCAGCCTCACTAACTCTTCACAAATGTCCTGAAGTGTCCTCTCGTCTCGTCAGACTCCAGGTTTGTTCAGTCCAGATGAAGTTGAAAAAGGAACAAAGCCACACAGCCGGCCAAACACTGCATTGTTTTACCTCCCAGATGGATTAAAGAGATTTACTCCAGAGAATCCCCTCCTACCCTCATTTCCAACGCCCTCACGCCCGCCGCTGTAAGCAGCAGGCTGGTGGCATCTCAGGTGGCTGAACAGGATCCTCTTATGCCGAGCACGTATTAGTACGAGGGACCTTTAACACTGGACACGTGCCGAACCCTGTCCACCTCTGACATGCAGGCTACAAACAGAGACTTCTTCCTGTATGCGCTCATTTTTTAACCTTTGGTTTGCTAACAAAGCAGGTCTTGATGCTGCCACTCTCTTCATTAAATACATAAAATGTACTTTTTTAAATTAGTTACAGAGTTATTGTTGAGAGAGTTTCAAAAAGTCCTACAGAAAACGCTACAAGTTTAACTTTTAATGCTAATTGATTTGGATATTTGACAATATGTTTATTTACTTAACATTTTCATGCTTTAAATATTATTTATGCTCTTAGAATTGTTCATTTTTTTATTACCGTATTTTCCGCTGTACACGTTGCACCACCCTATAAGTCGCATCGTCCAAAAATATCTAATAAAGTGGAAAAATCCATAAATATGTTGCTTCGCTGTATATGTCGCATCTATTATGCGTCACCGCTGACAACCCAGAAATGTGGGTCAGTGTTGTGCCAAAAATTGATTGGTTGTCAAATAACGGCCGCGGGAGCATGCACGGGAGGAATTTAACAAGAATTTAACAAGATTAACACTTAAAAACAATTGTTTGCTCAAAATTATAGCAAAGGTGTGTCTCAGTCGAACTTTTACTTAATAAATGCACTTTGACGGTCAAACCATCTGTATTTCAAAAGTATTTGCTGCTTCAGTGCTCTGGGAGCGCGCACATGGAGCAAATTGGGAAGTAGGAATGCTGCATATTTCTTTGAAATTTAACAAGATAAGCATCTAAAACAATTATTTGTTTGCCTGACATTATAGTAAAGATGTGTCTCAGTTGAACTTTTACTTAATAAATGCACTTTCATGGTCAAATTAGCTGCATTTCTCCGGGGCGGTGCAGCAAAATGAAATTGATTTCACTGTTGCTTCAAGTGAGCTGGACGAAGGTGTCAGTCTATGGCAAGCCAATAGTGTCATTAATAGCCACTTTTACCTATTACATGATACAACGGCGTGCAGCAAGGTGGCGCAACTGGTAGAGCTGCTTCCTCTCAGTGAGAAGGTTGCCGGTTCAAATCCCGGTCCGGGGGACCTTTCTGGGTGGAGTTTGCATGTTCTCTCCGTGCATGTGTGGGTTTTCTCCAGGTACTTCAGTTTCCTCCCACAGACCAAAAACATGCATGTTAGACTGATTGGTGACTTTAAATTGTCTCTAGGTGTGAGTGAGAGAGTGAATGGTTGTTTGTCTCATGTGTCCCTGTGATGGACTGAAGACCTGTCCAGGGTGTCCCCCGCCCCTCACACAGTGATTGCTGGACATGGGCACCGGCGACCCCCGTGACCCAAAATGGAAGAAGCGGGTAAAAGATAATGGATGGATGGATGACACAACGGCATGCCATACTACTCGAGTGCCATCTAGCGGCTGAAAATGGTAGTGTTCAATATTTTCAGTCAGAATGAATGAAAACTGTCATATCTCAGCCAAAAGTTGGTTTATAAATATGAGGAAAAAAAAACAAATACATCGCTTCGATGTATAAGTCGCAGGGCATGTACATTATGCAAAAAAACCTGTGACTTATAGGCCGTTCTGCTGTTCGGTGTATTGATTTTATGCTACTAGTGCTTAGGGTATTTTTATTACCATTTTTCTTAATTCACATCTTAGAACTTATTACTGGTTTTCTTTTACATTTTATACTTTTGTTGGATGTAACTAGGACCCTGTGTACATAATGTCATTCCACCACATGTGGTACATGTGACAGAATGACAAATAAAGAACCTTGAATCCTTGAAAAACATGGTTATTTAAAGTAAATTAATAAAGTCTAACAAAATAAATATATTTTTCCTCTTCACCATTGCTTCAAGGTGCTGGTAGGTATCACGGCTGGTGATTAGTTGACGATTGGTATGACAGACAAAAGTGGCAATGAAAGAATGTGCCCAGCAAAGATTTGCAAGACATTCCCTCCAAAATATGTTTCAGTTTTTCAAAATTTGGCTGCTCAAAATGAACCTGAACTGGCTGCAAGCAAACAGACATGTGAGTTGGTCGACAAAAAAAAAAATATTGCACTAAAAATACACAATACAGTGGTTTTAACTTCTAAAGGATGGGAGACTACAACAAAGCCAAGATTAAACTTGTCTGCTGCTTCCTTAGATAAAGAATTTTACGAATTGACTTTTTATGTATGTGAATGTTTCTGTAAAGTGCCCTGAGACAACTTCGTTGTGATTTGGCACTATTTAAATAAACTGAACTGAATTGAAATTGAATTAACGAAGAGCTACAGCTCGAGAAAGTACTGAAGATCCTCACATTCTTCTGAGCCTAACGACTACCAGCAGAACCAGCGAGCTTCTCCCCTCGCAGACCCCACTGTGGTCAGACCCGCACATCACCAGCAGGGAAATCCCTCTGCATCTTTCCCTGAGTTCGACTGCAGAGCACTGACGGCAGCTACGTTTGGTGGACATGAGGTCCAATCCAGCCTCTGTCACAACACGCCAACAGGAGGTGGAGTGACCCGTCGGCTGCCTCAGGACTCACTTCTACAGCAGTGAAAGGCCCTCAGAGCGAGGGATTACCCAGGAAAGACAAGACACTGTATCAGAAAGGTCTTCTGAACTGCATGGAGTCAAAGTCTTTACTGCATTGTAATTTACAATAATCTACTTTAATGGTTACTGAAATGCTTATATGTTCATGCAATCAGAAAATCATTTTAGTGCTCTCAAATTCTGAAAAATCATAAAATCTATTCCTACTGGGGCTTGTCCTGGTCAAAACCCTACTCCGAGCACCACAGACACCTTTCCCCCTCATGTGACGTAAAGTCTTTCTTACCTTTATTTGTCCTTTAGCCAAGATCTTGTCTGTGATCTCTCCTTCCTCTTTGCTCTGCTTGGTTTTGGTGCTGCACTTCTCATAGCACAGCAGCCTCACAGTCTGAGAGCCCTCCAGTTCAATCTCAAACTCCTTGAACGGAAACGAAGCGAACACGTTAGCTTTCTTCAGTTCAGAGAGGTTTCCAAAAACATCCCATATTTAATCAGTGATATTTTAGGAAACTGCTCTGGTTTTATCTAATTAAGTAATGAGTTGTAGAAAAAAAACCTTTTCTTTGTTGTAGAAGAACAAGTATGGCATCTTGTAACTTTTGGAATTGATTTAAAGATTTTATTATTTGTTTTGAAAAGCCTCCATGGCATTACTCCTTATACCTTAGTGACATGATTGCCAGGAACACACCACCCACATCATTAAGATCATCTAACAGTAATCAGGTGATGACACTTTGAGTTATTCTGGACCTCAAACTTTGGATCTCTCAGCAAACCTCAAAGCTTTTTAAAAAGTCTTAAAACTTACATTTTCACTGTTAATTTTTAGGTTATACTTATTTTTTTCTCCTGAAAGTATCAGTCATTTAGTCAGACTGTAATGTTTGTGCTTTGTTTGTAAAGCACATGAAAATTGCCATACAAGAAAATATTTTTTATCATCACCTTCTGCAGTCTGATGTGTGGTCTCACCTCGTTCCAGTTGGGCTCCGTAGAGTCTCTGTACACGCGTGTCTTGGCTTTGTTGACAAAGTAGCCAAAAGAGTCCACCTCCAGGGAGCAGTACAGGTCTGAAGAAGACCAACAGAACTGGTTTTAATGATAAAATCTAAGTGAAGCAAAAATTTACATGAATCATCTGGTGGAGACATGCTCATGTTGGTCTGTTGTGGGATCTGACAACATGCTGCCTTTATCAACAAGAACTCTGCTATTCGCCAATGTTGCATCTACTGGGCGGCTGTGGCTGAGTGGTAAGAGCAATCATCCTATTGTTGGGGGTTCAATTCCATCAGCAGTGTCCCTGGGCAAGACACGGAACCCCCCATTGCCTCCAATGTGTGTCCCATCAGTGTATGAATGCCACTTTCAACACTTGCTCTTGTCAAGGGCGGACGCCTTTCTCCACCTCTTCCTCTCCGCTTGGCTTTGCTCTGTCCTGTCTGTGAAACTGCTTTAGAGCCTTTCTTCTACAAATCTTCTGAATCATAATTCTGCTATGGATTTCGTCAGTTGGTCAATCAACACAATTGATAACATTTCTTCGAAGAGAAGACAGGCTTTAGGCGAGCCGATTTGCCCTGTTGGCATGCACACAGCTGGAGATCTCATCGACTTGGAAGACTTGATGTTGTGTCTATCGCTGTGGTCAATCGAGGACGTTAAGGGCAGATATATAATTGGATTTATGATAACTGGTTCCTGCTTTTTTGATTCGGATGGTTCCTGGTTTATCAACAATCAAGGAAGTCTTCGGCAGCAAATTTGGACCCGATCAGGCTGCTTGCCTTATGATGGCTTGGTTCGTGCCTCGAGTACCCAGACTCATATGCTTTTGGCAGAATGGATTAGATCTCGGGGATTACTCTAAGGCACGGTCCATTGGTGTGGCCATTTAATTTGGACGTTTCAGAACAGAGTGGACCAACACAGACTCAAGGTAGATATAATCATTAAAGTTCTGCCTGTCCCCAAAACAATCGTGTTTATCTGAATTCAGCTCCATGATTGGCTTTGACCAGCCATCTTCGCCTGGAGGCTCTGTAAACCTTGATGCTCTGACCCCCCTCCCACCGAGGAAGTCTATGGACCAATCAGATGGGCCCGGCTGAATAAACATTCTGTCATTATTTCAGGACTCTTTGGATTCTATCCGACGTCGTCCTCGGTAGTCCTTGGCATTCCCCGAGAGTGTACGGATCTTTCCAGAGGGAACTATGTGAACGGAGCGATTTACCGTTCTTATCTGAACTCTTGCAGTGCCTCTGTGAGTTGTCTCTGGACATGCTCACCGCTCTTGCGCCATCTCCCCCCCCTCCCCACCCTGCAGAATGTCGATGTCATTATGTGCTTGTGTGCAACGTTTTTTTAAAATAATTTTCAGGCTATTAATCTTCATCCAAAGATTAAGAGCATGTTAGAATTTTTTTTGCCTCCAAAACCTGTGTTGTCACTTTCACCACTTATTGTCCAAACAGGTCTCACTTGTAAATAAGTCTTTGAGGCTCAATGTGATTTATCTGTTTAAATAAAGGTTGAATGAATGTATGAATGTGACAAAGCACTGATTATTCTTTGTATAGATCTAGTAGAGTGCTGTATGAATGGGTAAATGAGGGCAAGGATTGTAAAGTGCTTTGAGTAGTTTGATAAGATAGAATGGCACTATACAAGTACAGTCCATTTACCATCTACTGTGCAGCAGGTATTTTACTTGTTAGACAGCGTCCTTGATTACCACCCCTACTCTGTGTCGGGGAGCACAGTTGTTTAGGCGCACAGTGATTTGAGGACTCAGAGACATATTTCAGACAGCCTGTACGTAGTGTTCCTGACTAATCCCACTTGTTCCCCCTCAAGCTGCCCCAGCTGGCAGCTGCAGAGTGAGAGACAAAGTGAGGATTGACAGAGGATGATGTGGCAGCACATGAGCATTATCATCGAGCTGGTTCCTCATCAAAAACACCAGACAGTGATGCTTACTTAAGCTCTGTTTGAGCCCAGACGCAGAGTGGACAATCACATTCAGGAAGCCGTATAAACCAGAGGATTCATCATCTGTGCAGAGAACAGTTTAGGTTAAAAGCTAAACATTATATTAAAATGCCTTAAATCCTTAAATATACAATAAAATAAGGTTTACCTTCCTTGTTCATGGTCATTGGAATAGTGTGAACAGTTTGTAGCTTCACACATGAATTAGTGAGCATCTGCAGCTCCAGAGAGGTCAAAGAGAAGCTCTTAAAGCCTGAAAGTCACAGTTTGGAGGAAAAAGTTCAACAATAGCCACCAAGATAAAGAAAAAAAGAAAAAACCACAGATGTTTTAAAAAATAAAACTCACACTTCTTCTGTTGCTCACGAATAATCTCCCTCCACTCTGCACGCTCATAATCAGAGGAAATTAAAAAAGTGAAACCCTGAAAGAGTAAAAAGTATGGTAGTTTTCTTATGGTCACACCAGGTGATTCCATGCAAGCAACAGCAGGGGGCAGTGGAAATCAAATTCAAAGGCAGGTATTTAAAGTAAGAGATATTATCTAAACATTGCTCATCAGATAAAACCAGAAACATTTAAATTTTTCTCCAAGTTCTGACTCACTTTGCCGTTTCTGTTGGCCACTCTGAAGGCCATGCTGGGAGACATGAGAAGCAGCAGAGACTCTTGTTCGGCTAATTTTTTCCTCAGTCGCTCAATCACCTTGGATCCTTTGGTTGTCCTCTGCAGACATAAGCAGCAACATTAATGATGGAAGGGCTCACAGTCTGGACATTATTCTCTCCTTACATGCTCAAGTTCCTCATTATTGAACGCAGCCATAACAAGCTTAAATCTTTAGCATCCATCAAGAAATGCTAGTGTCTATAGAACCGCGTTATTCTGGTGTCTGTGACTGCAGTCGGGTCAGTTCCCTAAAAGAGTCTCAACGGAACATTTGGAGAAGTTCAAGTGTCAAGAGGTCTGCCCTCACCTTCTCCCTCTGGATCTCATTCTTGATCTGGGAAATCTTTATCTTCATCGCGTCGATCTCTTCATCCTGAACCAGAGGGATCGGGCTGGACTCGCAGTCATCGATAGTTTGGAAGGTCAGGTCAGCCAGTGGGATGTACCACTTACAGTCATACTGCTGCCCCTTTCTATAAGAAAGAATGAAAACTTCTAAAGTTTCTTATAATAGTTACAAAGTCCTGTTCTCTCATCAGATGTCTGTCACGTGATGCAAACAGCACATACTGCTGCGAAATGTTCAAAACGCTTCAAGTAGAATTAAACCCTTTTTGTTTTTGTAAGAAAGAAGCAGAATTTGAATCACTAAGAGAAATGATTCTCCCTTTACAGCAGGGACAAGGCACCTCTGACTGGGTCTCACCCTGCAGCCTGTTTCTTCAGTTTGGTGCAGAGCAGCAGGTCAGTGAAGAGGAACACGTGACGCAGTTTCCTCGAGACCTCCACCAGCTCCACCATGAAACGATCTCTCAGCAGCTGTCGGTGCTGCCAAAGACAAAAAACAGTGATTTACATCAGTCACTTGAATGCAACCTGATCAGGAACGCTGTGCTATGACTTTCGGTAGCAGTACATATAGAGAGCATTGGATGTTTTCAGTGAATAAAAATAAATAAAAAGTACAGAAAAACTAACATTCAAACTGCAATATTTTGCTGAAACAACCAAAATACATCCAGCTGTCTTTAGAGTTTTACTGTTTTTTCTGTGTGCATTGGTGCAAATAAACAAGAAAAACAAGTTTGCATGGATTCGCTGTAGTTTTCATGCCCCGCAGGGTTGTCAGATAAGAAATGATAAACTAGTGCACTGTCACATTAAAATTGCTCTACTCTGACTCAGTCATTTGTGCTGAGTGAGGGTGTTGTAAGATGAGGTGTGTGTTGTGTTTGGTGAACATGTGCACAGAAAAGGAGGGGTTAAAAAAACCAAGTACAGTAGTCCCTCGTTTATCACGGGGGATCCGTACCCTGAAGACCTGCGATAAGTGAAAAAAACGCAAAGTAGGAATAGTAGTACAAGTAGTAATTAGTAGTTTATATATATATATATATATACATACATACATATATATTAGGATGTTTTAAACTCTTCCCACACTCTTGTAATATTCTAAACAATGTTTCTAAACTATAAACACTTTAAAAGAGCACAGAATGTCATGATTTCAGCTCCCTTCTTCCTCTGCTCTTTGCCACCTGCAAGCACTCTTGGCCACGCCCACTCCTCCGCTCTGCATGCTGATCAGCTGATCAGCTGCAGCAGGAAGTTTATCCTGCAGGATGGGCTGCACAAAGCTGCAAGAAGAAGCTTTTTCTGCTGCTCTGGGCTGCACTCTATGACTCTGACACAAATGTGCAGCAGGTCCTGAATAATTTAAAATAATTTATTTTAAATAAAAATTTCATGCCGATCATGCGGCTCATCCATCAATTAACCAATTATGTGTCATGTCCAATTTTACTTTGGACAACTGCGATAAATGAACCGCGAAGTAGCGAGGGACTACAAGTTTATCTGGCAACCCTGATTCCAGGCTCAGCTGCACACATTGTGCATGCAGTGTCAGCATGATTTCAGTTACATCAAAACTGGTGAATACAGAATTGTCCCTTTGAACCTAGGGTTTTGTTGGTTTGCTCCTATATGCTGAAAAAGGATGCGTAGCACAAAAAACACCACTCTTCTGCTCAAGTGCACTGTCTCAACTCCCCATCGGTTCCGCACCAGTTAAGGGCCTGTCCACTGCTGATACCCGCCCCCACTCAGCCCAATTTATGGGACCACCTTGTTTGTGGTTCCAAGCGGGCTGCTCTGAGATGAAGGTTTTGATGCAAGCAGATCTCAGCTTCTGATTGGCCCGTGGAGCTACAACACCGGATGACTCACCCAGAGGTACAGTCACTGTAAGCAACATCTGAACCTCCGTTTCCTCTCTGATCATGTTAACGGACAGCGCCTCAAGAAATGAGCACATTGATAGAGAGATGTTGGAGATGATGGCACAGCATGGCTACACCCGGACTTATAAAGCCGGGATAAGTTAATGAAACAGATTATAGGGCGATTAAGGACCACAACGGGTGGAGTGGCTCCAACACAATGACCTGTCATGACACTGAGAAGTCCGAGCCAACATGCGTAATTATTGCGCAATGCGCCAGCACGTTTTAAAAATGTACTTTAAGAATGTACTGGCTGCGCTGGCATATTGTTGTAACCTGTCACGAGAGCCACCAATAAAGCATGGCGAGCCACACGTGGCTCGGGAGCCGTGCAATGAGTATCCCTGGTATACAAGGTGATCAGTTTTCCCCCTAATAAGCATGTGTGGTCATAAAGCTAAAGGGACTTCCAGCAACTTTACGTCTTGTTTCGTTGCAGCTGCTACCAAATCAAGTTTGTGAAAGTCTGAGTTATTTATTTGTTTTTGTTAATTCTGCCTGACCACAAAGACAGATATTTGGACATGGAGTTTTTTTTTTGCAGGAAGTGTGTCTGAATTCTTCCACTGCTCTCTGACCTCTGGGCTGAGGCTTTTTACAGTGACGGCCCACGTGAGACTCCTCCACCCCACACCGACCGCAGCTCGACAAAAACATGGAAATGACCGCGGCACGGTTTTCCTCTGCAGCTCTGTCTGCACGCTGCAGCTCAGCTCTGGCTCGCTCCGAGCGGACTGCTGAGGAGAACACGCATGTTCAAACAGAGTCCGCGATTTAAAGGGCCACGCAAGGGTTACATCCGCTGATTGTTGTGCGACACAAACACGAGCACAACTCGATAATCCAATGGAAAAAGAAGAGCCGCTTGGAGATGTCCCTGTTTTTATCAGCACTACGATGAGACACCGAGGCATATACAGGAAGTGAAGCTAAATAAACTTTACGGTTGAAATGGTTTGGGGTAATTACAGGGAGTTACAGTGGAAAACATCAACACAGATGCAGATTTAGCCAAGAGAAGATCCTACACAACAACAAACCCATATTTTAAACTGAAAGTCAAGCCTTGGCTTGTTATCTGTCAATCTCTGCGTGGGACTTCAAACTTCCTGAACAATGTGTTGAAGAATGTTCCCAAGAACTTTGGTTTAATATCCCACCCTGGCAGGCAGGACTAGTTCCTGAGAAACACTGAGGAAGTCCTCAATCAGGCCATCAGAGCCCTGCGAGGTGCGGTGTATGAAAGGGCTGTGAGGAGGAAGCACAGATAAGGTCCGAGCTCACAGCCGAGTGGACGAGGCCTTCTGCAGCTCCTTTCTGGGAAGCAGAGTCAACACTGCAGCAGGGAAGGATGGGAGTGAGCGAGGCCGCAGTCTGTGTCTGCCCTGCTTTGTTACAAGCTTCCTCCACGCTCTGCTTCTTTCACAGCAGGCAGACTGAAATGAGTCAGCTCCAACCTGACTCACACTCCGGTTTCCACTGCAGCTTCCACACACCGCGCGCTCTGAGCGTTTTACTGTTAACAGGCCAGGCAGGCGGGATTTTATGGAAGCAGACAAAATCCTGAGTTGCACAACGCTGCTTTTCCAGAGATCAAATAAATGCTGTAGAGCAGCATGTTGGCAACAGTCAGCTATTAAATTCAATATTTTCACTTTGACACTTTTGGTTTTTGTCCATAGGCCTATTTATTACTGAATGAACTCAAATTAAAACGGATACTTTGACCTTTATCCTTCAAGCTCATTTACAAGATCTTTGGGCGTTCATTTAATGCAACCTTCACAGCAATATGCTGCTGATTGTCCATTCTGCTGATCTCATGCTGCTGATTTATTACACGCTGCTGTGTTCATTCATACTCATCTGCTCACACAGACTCATGTTCGTGCTGCTGTTGTTCAACATTGTTTTTGTACTAATAAGTGTATTGTTAAGTGTATGTATTCTTAGTTTATAGTATTTCTTAGTTGATATTTTAGATCTCATTACGGTTTTATTTTACATTTTATACTTTTGTTGGATGTAACTGGGACCCTGTGTACTGTTTCTTTCCACCACATGTGGTGAGAATGGCAATAAAGAAACTTGACCTTTTTATGTTCTGTGCTTATATAAGTATGCTAAGATAATTATGACGACAAACCTCCTCGACATAAACGGTTTTATTATTGAGAAGACGTGTGCTAATGTTATTCAAAACTCTCTATTTCATTCATTAAAGCCACTGTAAGCACCGCAGACCCTTCTTAGTTTTAACTGCACTCTCAGACAGTAATCACTGGATGTAAATTTACAGTTTTTCAAGTCAACATAAGTCCAAATGGCCACCACAGCTAACTGAGCGTAGCAAACACATACTAGGCTTTGACTCAGTGAATTTGACAGAAATAGAGCTAAAATTTGATCTGGTAGTAGCAGAAAGTCATTCACAGCCCATACTCCAAGAGTTGCCAAGAGAAACCTCACTGCTACAGTATCAAGCTGCTAACTGGACCATGTTGCAAAGAGAAACCTCACTGCTACAGTATCAAGCTGCTAACTGGACCATGTTGCTAAGAGAAACCTCAATGCTACAGTATCAAGCTGCTAACTGGACCATGTTGCTAAGAGAAACCTCACTGCTACAGTATCAAGCTGCTAACTGGACCATGTTGCTAAGAGAAACCTCACTGTCATCAGAACCACTCTGCCAATAGGACCATGCTGCTGTAGATTTATTTATTTTTCACTTTTGGCGCCTTGTTTCTTCATTTTTGTTGCATGCTTTGATATTTGCTATTGTGTTGTGGGTTTTTTTGGCGAGTGGAGATGGTTCTTCTCGTCCTGAGCATTTCATTGTATTGTTGACCTTGTGTTGATTTTACATGACAAATAAACCGAACCTGAACCTACTCTGAGCTCCTACAGACTGTGCAAGGTCTTTGTGGAAAATGTTGGCGTTCAAGGAGGTAAGCAATAAGCCCCCAGTATACACCCGCGTACATACGGCCGCGTGGAGGTTCGCGCGTACGTACGCTTAGGGTTCAGACTTCGTGCTTGAGCGTACACCCCGAGCAGCTGCAGAGCAGCTTCGCAGACAAGGGGCGTTTACCTTCGGGACAAATTGAGGTAGCCGATTGGCCATTTGCTGACAGCTCGCAAAAAAAAAAAAAGAGCTGGCAGCCTCAGCCGCAGAGGTGTTCTGTGTTTATATGTCGTTAATAAAAAGATCTAAAAAAAATTTTTAAAAACCAGGGAGCGCTGCAGCCCACACATCAGATCAGCCCAACAGGAAATCTCCAGATCCTCCCGCAGCCACGCTGGACCTGAGTTTAATTCGCTCGTGACAAATTCCTTAATTTCTCACCATTTCATCAACGGAGGACTCTTTGACTCTGACTCTTGTCAAAAAAAAACAAAAGAAAAGGCCAGATCAGAGATGAAGATGGGGAATTTAATACATTGGTGTCGCATACAAAACAGTCCGTCGCTGGGCAGTTTATTGTGCGACACCGCGTACGTGGTTGTAAAAATTGAGCTTGGTGCGGACATGCCTAGCAGAGGTACGCATGTACCTCCGCGTACATACGTGGGAGTATACTGGGGGTTATATGCGTTCCTTCAAGGAATGTCTTTTATTCATTTAAATATGCATTTTCAGCCTCAAAAACACAGGCTAAAAAATTATTGTGCATGCAACAAGTTAACTGCTCCATGTTTTGATTGTAGGAAGGAAGGAATAAACCCTGCAGGAACAAAAATCTGCATGGCTGGGTGTCAGTCAGACCCGGTCTGTGACGACAGACCACTCGAACCACTGTTTGTTTTTGATAATGAGAACGTCCTAAAGTCTTTCTTGGCAAGCTGTTGTTTTTTCAAAGTTATCAAAACAGTCAGTCAGTTTCCACTGGAGTGTCTGTTGCCAGTGTTGTGCTGTGAAAAGGCCCTTTTGTTGCAGGAAGTGCATTAAGAACGGAAAAGTGTCAGGTGTAATAACAACAAGCCTTTTAATTGCTTTGCGGCCGATGTCAAAAATCTGTCTACTAAATTTGCCAACCAATAATCAGTCCACCGTTTAAATTTGTGTCTAACCTTTAAAAAGCAGCCAAAATAAACAACTCTAGCATCTGAGAGAGTTAACTCAATATTTGTATTTGGTCAAAGTACACCTGAGCACATTACTTACCAGCCTTGAGTCATAAATGTTTCTACACTATCCTGGCACACAACTGTCACAAGGTTTCTCACACTGACCTCTCCTTTCTTTACGGTCATGGACTGCCTGCGTGGGGTGATCTCTTCATTAATGCTGGACAGGAAGTTCTGGGAGATGCGCAGGGCATCCTGCAACAATGGATAATCTGGATGGCTGGAAGGCGTGTGCTTCAGCAGGTCCTACAACAGAAAAACGCGTATAAATTAAAACTTTAAATGAAAACAGTGGGCGGGGCTTGAGAGAATGGCCTTACGTGGAGAACAAGTGTGCTGCGTGTCACTCTGTCCACAGGCTTGTAGAGGAGAGCTGCAGAGAAGGTCAGCTCAGGTCAGCTACTCACAACAACAACGCTGAACAATGTGGAGTCATGGTACTCACTCTCCAGTGAATGTTTGGCCGACTGGTCCTTGCAGTCCTTATTGTGCTTTACTTTGAGATGCTAGACGACACCAAAATAAAGAATGAGAAGATAAAAACATTGCATTAAATATCATCATGCTGTCATTAAAACATCCTGACTAAGTGCAGCTGTGCAGCTCTTTCAGCTGAGGATAATAAAAGAACCTGCCCAGTCATCAGTTGTCCCCGGCAGCAGCAGCGAACCATCAAACACTCGCCTGCTGCCGACCTGCTGTGTGTAGCGTGACTTCATACCTCAGATATCTCCGCAAACTGAGCGTTTGCCTGGCAGCACTTGTCTGCCGTCTCCACAGCGACCTTATAGTTATCCACGAAGGCCCGGTACACTCCGAGCTGGCTGGCCTGCAGCAAAGAGGGCACGGGTTAGTCTCGTACCATGACACAGGACAGACTTTAGGACACGACCTGTCCGATGGCTTGAAACAGCAGAGCACCTTTATATAAATCTGTGTGTTGTAGGTATGAGCCTTTAATCTTCTGCCTCCCACAACAAACACTGAGGTAAGTCCTATTCATCGCCCTCCCATGGAGCGGTTTGGACTCCTGTACGGGCTGCTCTGTGGTGAAGCAGGGCTTTTTATGTGGCCAGGAGACGACTCCAGGCGGTCTACACAAATGTTCATTTCAAGATCATCTGAGCATTAAAATTAGAGCCAGAAGCTACAACCTCTTCACTCTGCAAGCCTCTTAACAACCATTAAAAGATCAAGGAACAAAGTTTAAGGAGAGCTATCATTACTTTCTGAAATTACTGAAATGCTTAACAGAGATCCTTTGATGAAAAACCAACAAACTGTTCAGCGTTTTTAGTGAACTGTTCCTGTCAGTGATAAGTTAGCTCAAGTCACTCATTGTGTTTTTGACTTTTACAAGCTGTGCAGCTAAACGATGCTCCAAGTCCTACACACAACAATTAATGCAACATTTTATTCATATTAACCCGTCTGATCCTTCGTGCTCCACTAACGTCTGACTTCCTTATTGACATTGTGGGATTTCTTCCTGCTGTGTTCAAATGGAATTAAAGAAAGTAGAGAAACAAGTCTGGAACGCTCCAGGCAGAACGTCACGACATGTTTTTCTCTAAGATTACTGCCTGTAATAAATTCCCCCCACAAATAAAGATCATTTTCTTTCAGATGTTCCCTCTTCAGGGTCTCCACAGCGACTCATCCTCCTCAATCTCTGTCCTCACTCAAACACCTCCATGTCTCTAACTGCATCCATGTATCTCCTCTTTGTCTTTGTCCTCGCAGCTGCTTTTCTAACATCATTCTACCAATATACCCACTGTCCCTCCTCTGGACATGTCCAAAAACTGTCCCTCCTCTGGACATGTCCAAACACTGTCCCTCCTCTGGACATGTCCAACCCACTGTCCCTCCTCTGGACATGTCCAACCCACTGACCCTCTTCTGGACATTATCAAAACACTGTCCCTCCTCTGGACATGTCCAACCCACTGTCCCTCCTCTGGACATGTTCAAACCACTGTCCCTCCTCTGGACATGTTCAAACCACTGTCCCTCCTCTGGACATGTCCAAACCACTGTCCCTCCTCTGGACATGTCCAAACCACTGTCCCTCCTCTGGACATGTTCAAACCACTGTCCCTCCTCTGGACATGTCCAAACCACTGTCCCTCCTCTGGACATTATCAAACCACTGTCCCTCCTCTGTACATGTCCAAACACTTTCCCTTCTCTGGACATTATCAAAACACCGTCCCTCCTCTGGACATTATCAAAACACTGTCCCTCCTCTGGACATG